TTAGTGTTACTGTACAACTAAAGCACTCAGCTTTTTAATATACATCAAAATTTGAAATATGTATGCCTTTTGGCTCAGCAATTTACTTTCAAGAGTTTATTATTCTTAAAATAATTTATTTTTAAAAATAATCATCAAATAGTATACAAAATTTTTAATAAAGATAATACAGGCTGGTTGTATTATTCTACTGTAAGATTAGTCACTTCTTTTTTTAAAATTTATTTTTATTTGTTTGTTTATTTTTTGCTCTGTCGCCGAGGCTAGAATGCAGTGGTGCATCTCAGCTCACTGTAACCTCCGCCTCCTGGGTTCACACCAATCTCCTACCTCAGCCTCCTGAGTAGCTGGGACTACAGGCGCCCGCCACCATGCCCAGCTAATTTTTTGTATTTTTTTAGTAGAGATGGGGTTTCACCGTGCTAGCCAGGATGGTCTTGATCTCCTGACCTTGTGATCTGCCTGCCTTGGCCTCCCAAAGTGCTGGGATTACAGGCGTGAGCCACTGCGCCTGGCTAGATTAGTCACTTCTTTGCACAGAAATTACACTGGTATATAGGGTGATTTTTAAAAGTTAGTTGTAAAATATACATAACAATAAATTTACCATCATAATCATTTTTAGGCATAAGGTTCAGTAGTGTTAAGTACATTCACACTGTTGTGCAGCCAATCTCCGGAAGTCTTTATCTTGCAGAACTGAAACTCTGTTCTCCCAGCCCCTGACAACTACTAGTCTACTTTCTGTCTCTATGAATTTGACTACTCTAGGTGCCTCATATAAGTAGAATCATACAGTATTTGTTCTTTTTTGTGGCTGGCTCATTTCACTGAGCAGAATATCCTCAAGGTTGATCCATGTTGTAGCATGAGTCAGAATTTCCTTTTTTAAAAAACTGGTTTTAAATAAGACTATTTTTTGGAGCAGTTTTAAGTTTACAGCAAAATTGAGTGGAAGATACAGATAATTCCCCTATACTTCTCTCCCTTACACTTGTACAGCTCCCCCACTATCAACATCCTGCACCAGAGTGGTACATTTGGTTCCAATTGTTGAGCCCACATTGACACATTGTTGTTACCCAAAGTCCATAGTTTACATTAGGGTTCCTTCATGGTATTTTACGTATTTGTATTTGAACAAATATATAACTCATATCCACCATTATTGTATCATATAGAGTAGTTTCACTGCCCTGAAAATCCTCGGTGCTCTGCTTGTTCATCCCTCCCTTCCCCCTAATCCTTGGTAACCTCTAATCTTTTTACCATCCCCATAGTTTTGCTTTTCCAGAAGGCTATGTGATTGGAATCATAAGTGTGTAGCCTTTTCATATTGGCTTTTTTCACTTAGCAATATGCATTTAAGCTTCCTCTACATTTTCTCATAGCTTGAAAGCTCATTTCTTTTTAGTGCTGAATGATATTCTATTGTCTGGATGTACCACAGTTTATCCATTCACCTACAGGAGGACATTTTGGTGCTTCCAAGGTTGGGCAATTATGAATAAAATTATAAACATCCATGTGCAGGTTTTTATGTGAATGTAAGTTTTCATCTCCTTTGGGTAAATACAAAGGAGTATAATTGCTGGATTGTATGGTAAGAGTATGTTTACTTTTATAACAGACTGCCACACTGTCTTCCAAAGTGGCTGTACTATGTTGCATTCCCACCAGCAATGAATGAGAGTTCCTGTTGCTCCACATCCTCAATAGCGTTTGATATTGTCAATCTTTCGAGTTTTCGATATTTAAATAGATGCGTAGTGATATCTTATTGTTTTAATTTGTAATTCTCCCATGACATATGATGTTGAGCATCTTTTCATATGCTTATTTACCATTTATGTTTCTTCTTTGGTGAGATCTCTTCAGGTGTTTTGCCCTTTTTTAAATCGGGTTCATTTTCTTATTGTTGAGTTTTAAGAATTCCTTATTTTGGATAACAATCCTTCTGATTCATCTTTTACAAACATTTCCTCGCTGTCTATGTCCTGTCTTCTGATTCTTTTGGCAGTGTCTTTCACAGGGCAAAAGTTTCTTGTTTTAATGGAGTCCAGCTTATCGATTTTTTGCTTTTATGGATTGTGCCTTTGGCATTGTATCTTAAAAGTCATTGCCATACCCAAGGTCAACTAGATTTTCTCCTGTGTTATCTTATAGGACTTTTATGGTTTTGCATTTTACATTTAGGTTTATGATCCATTTTGTATTAGTTCTTGTGAAGGGTGTAAGGTCTGTGTCTAGATTTCTTTTTTTTTTTTTTTTTTTGGTGTGTGATTGTTCACTTGTTCCAGCACCATTCATTGAAAAGACTAATTTTGCCAAACTAATGTATTGCCTTTGCTCCTTTCTCAGAGATCAACTGGCTGTATTTATGTGGGTCTATTTCTGGACTCTCCCTTCTGTTACATTGGTCTATTTCTCTGTTGTTTCGCCAATACCAGATTGTCTTGATTACTGTAGGTTTATGGTAAGTCTTAAAGTTGTGTGGTATCAGTCTTCTGATTTTGTTCTTTCAATATTTTTTTTGGCTGTTCTGGGTCTCTTGCCTCTCCATGTAAACTTTAGTGTCAGTTTGTTGATATCCACAAAATAACTTGCTGGGATTTTGATTGGGACAATGTTGAATCTAGAGATCAGGTTGGAAGAACTGACATCTTGACGGTATTGTGTCTTTCTATCCATGAACATGGAATATCTCTATTTAGTTTTTATTTGATTACTTTCATCAGAGTTTTGTATTTGTTTTCATATACATCTTGTACATATTTTGTTAGATTTATACCTTACTCAGTATTTCACTTTTTGGTGGTACAAATGTAAATGGTATTGTGTTTTTAATTTAATTTCAGATTCCACTTATTCATTTCTAGTACATAGGAAAACAATTAACCTTGTCCCTGCAACCTTGCTGTAATCACTTACTAGTTCCAGGAGTTTTTTTAATTGATTATTTTGGATTTTCTACATCAACAATCATGTCATCTATGAAGAAAGACAGTTCTATTTCTTCCTTCCCAATCAGGGTACCCTTTATTTCTTTTTTAAAAATCTTATTGCATTGGTTAGGACTTCCAGTACAATGTTAAAAAGAAGTGGTGAGAGGTGATTTCCTTGTCTTCTTCCTGACCTTTTTTTTTGAGACAGAGTCCCGCCGTTGCTGTGTCACCCAGGCTGGAGTGTAGTGGCATAATCTCAGCTCACTGCAACCTCTACCTCCTAGGTTCAAGCAATTCTCCTGCCTCAGCCTCCTAAGTAGCTAGGATTACAGATGTGTACCACCACGCCTGGCTAATTTTTATATTTTTAGTACAGACAGGGTTTTTCCATGTTGGCCAGGCTGGTCCCAAACTCCTTACTTCAGGTGATCCACCTCCCTTGGCCTCCCAAAGTGCTGGGATTACAGGTGTGAACCACCGCACCCAGCCTTCTTCGTAATCTTAATGGGAAAGCTTCTAGTTTTTCACAATAAAGTATGATGTTAATAGTAGGTTTTTTGTAGCTGTTCTTTATCAGGTTGAGGAAACTCCCCTCTTTCTAATTAGCGTTTTCTTCCTTTTTAAGACTGAGTAATAGGTGGTACGTGTATACCACTTTTTTTTTTACCCATGCATTCATCAATGGTCACTTGGGTTGCTTCCGTGTTTTGGCTGTTGTGAATAAAGCTGCTATGAACATGGGTGTACAGATGTCTATTCAAGATCCTACTTTCAGTTTCTTCTGGGTATATATATCCAGAAGTGCAATAGCTGGATCATGTGGTAGTTCTATTTTTGATTTTTTTTGAGGAACTAATATGTAAAATTTTATATACAAGGACAAATTTTATACTGCATTGATGTTTATTTTATAACAGCAAAAACTTGGAAGCATATTTGATCAGCAGGTGACTGGTTATATAAATTATGACACATGGATATAATAAAGTATTATGCAGCTCTTTGAAAAAGATATGGTAGCTCTGTATGTTTTGACATGCAACAATGTCCAGATATATTGTAATATGAAAAAGACAGTATGTATGATATGAACCTGTTTTTATTTTAAATCTATGTATGTATGCTCCGAATTTATTTTTCAAAAATAATGAACTTCTGGGGTGGGGAGGAATGGAGATTATAAGTGTGATAGAAGAGCCAACTTTTAACTTTACTGCCTTATAAATTACTGTATCATTTTGGGGTTTAAAGGAAGCACAGTTTTTTGTTTTTTTGAGGGGCAGGGGGTTTGTTTGTTTGTTTGTTTTTGAGACCGAGTCTTGCTCTGTCGCCCAGGCTGGAGTACGATGGCACAACCTTGGCTCACTGCAACCTCTGCTTCCCGGGTTCAAGCACTTCTCCTGCCTCAGCCTCCCAAGTAGCTGGGATTACAGGTGCCCGCCACCACGTCCGGCTAATTTTTTTGTATTTTTAATAGAGACAGGGTTTTGCCATATTGGCCAGGCTGGTCTCGAACTCCTGACCTCAGGTGATCCACCTACCTGGGCCTCTCAAAGTGCTGGGACTACAGGCACGTGCTGCCATGCCCTCAAGAAGCAGTTTTATAAGCAGAAAGACCAATTTGAATTTTTGGGGAAAAAGTTGACTCTCACTTGTCTTTGACATACAGAGAAAATGTTAAGTATTTCACTTATTTACTAAGTGTTTTTATGTCCACAAGGTCAAATGCTAGTCACTGAGGTATCTTGAGTATCTTTTTATTGTTATATTTGAATGTCTTTTTATTATTAAGGGTATCTGTTGTTTTGTGATCTGAGGTATAAAATTAGTACAGCGAATTTCCATCAAAATGGTTTCACATAAGGAACACCACTCTGTCATTTTTGTGTCACATTTGAGTGGTGCTTCCCATTTGCTATGACTTGGTATGGCATGGTAAGTAGCGAAATTGGAAGTTTGTCAAGGTTCCTCTGATCTTGAAGAAAATATCTCTTAGTTTAAGCATTGTGTTATATTACACACTGAATCCTGTTCTTTTTCTTTTTTGTCTGACAGTAGAACTTCATGGAGGAACACGGAGTGACCCAAACTGAACATATGGCTACCATAGAAGCACATGCAGTGGCCCAGCAAGTACAGCAGGTCCATGTGGCTACTTACACTGAGCACAGTATGCTGAGTGCTGATGAAGACTCGCCTTCTTCTCCTGAGGACACCTCTTATGATGACTCAGATATACTCAACTCCACAGCAGCTGATGAGGTGACAGCTCATCTGGCTGCTGCAGGTAATGTTGTTTGGATTAGAAGCTCTTCTTTAATTTTTATTTATTTATTTATTTATTTTGGAGACAGTGTCTTGCTCTGTTGCCCAGGCTGGAGTGCAGCGGCACAATCACAATTCACTGCAGCCTTGATCTTCCGGGTTCAAGTGACCCTCCCATCGCAGTCAGCCTCCAGAGTCGCTGGGACTGCTGATGCGTACCACCACATCTGGCTCATTTTTGTATATTTTGTAGAGACAGAAATCTCACTGTGTTATGCAGACTGGCCTCAAACTCCTGGGCTCAAGCGATCCTTCTGCCTCGGCCTCCTAAATTACTCGGATTACAGGTGTGAGTTACCATGCCTGGCCTTTTTCACAACTTTTTTAAGCCTTGCAGTTATAACTTGAACCTGTGTTGTACTGAGGCTTGAGGTCCAGAATCACTTACTATCAGTGTTATGACTTTGGTTTTATTTTTTCATCTATTCTGCCTGTGTTTTGGCTTTAAACTGAAGCATTTATTCCAATTACATTAAACAGAATCACTGACACATATTTAGATTTAAATTTACCTTCTTTTCTATATGCTTTCTCTTTGCCCTACCTGTTCTGTTTACTTTTCTCTTGGCATTTTCTTTTGTAGTGATTGAAAATTTTCTATTTTTTCATTTCTTTTCTTGTTAGTTTGAAAGTTATAAGCTTTTACTATTATCAATACCTGTAGAAATTATAGCATACATCCTTTATTTATCAATGTCTTATGTTGACTAGGTTCAGTGGCTCACACCTGTAATCCCAGCACTTTGGGAGGCCAAGGTGGGAGGATCACTTTAGCCCAGGAGTTTGAGACCAGCCTGGGCAATGTAGTGCGATCCCATCTCTACCAAAAAAAAAAAAATTAGCTGGGTGTGGTGATGTGCTCCCTAGTCCCAACTACTTAGGAGGCTGTGGTGGGATGACTGATCGCTTGAGCCCAGGTGTTTGAGGGTGCAGTGAGCTATGATTACACCACTGCACTACAGCCTGAGTAACAGAGTGAGAGCCTTGTGTCCAGTTGAAAAAAAAGGAAAAGCAAAAAGTTGTATGTACTTGAAACTTTTAACCTCTCTACAGGGATAATACAAATTTCTTAGAACACTTGCATTTCATGCGCCCATCCTATATGCTATTATTGTCGTTTGGTATACAGTTGGCTCTCTTTACTGTGGATTCCACATCTGTATATTCAACCAATTTTGAATCAAAAGTATTAGGAAAAAAAATTAAAAGTAACAATATAACAATTAAAAATAATACAAATAAAAGGCCAATATAATATAACAACTATTTGTATAGTATTTACATTGTATTAGGTATTATAATATTAGCATTAGTAACCTAGAGATGATACAGAAGGACGTGCGTAGGTTATGTGCAAATGCTACATCATTTTATTTCAGGGACTTGAGCATCTGCACATCAAGGTGCTGGAACCAATTTCACGAGAGTTTGAAGGGACAACTGTATTTTAAACACCACAAGACAATTTTTTTTTTTTTTTTTTTGAGATGGAGTCTCACTCTGTCACCCAGGCTGGAGGGCAATGGCACAATCTTGGCTCACTGCAACCTCTGCCTCCTGGGTTGGAGCAACTCTCCTGTCTCAGCCTCCCGAGTAGCTGGGATTACAGGTGTGTGCCACCATGCCCAGCTAATTTTTGTGTTTTTAGTAGAGATGGGGTTTCACCCTGTTGGCCAGGCGGGTCTTGAACTCCTGACCTCAGGTGATCCACCCACCTTGGCCTCCCAGAGTGCTGGGATTATAGGCGTGAGCCACCGCATCTAGCCAACAATATTTTTATTTAATAAATAATATTCATTTTTTTTTCCTGCATCTCCAACTGGTCTCCTGAGATGGTTTTTCTTCCGCCTAAAAACACCATTTAGTATTTGCATTAGCATGGATCTGCTAGTAGCAAGTTCTATTTTTGCTTGTCCATGAATGTTTTTACTTAAACTTCAACCTTGAAGGATGTTTTCACTGAGTATGGAATTCTAGCTTGGTGGTTATTCTTTCCTCATGTTGAAAGGTACTGTTCTGCTGTCTTCTGGATTCCACTGTTGCTATTGAGAATTCAGCTATTTCATTCTAACTGCTCGTCTTTCAAAGATTATCTCCCACATAGCCTGCCCCCTCTCCCCACCCAACTGATTTTTCTCTTTAGTTTTTGTGATGTATTTGGCTCTGATTTCTATTTATTTATTCTGTTTAGGATTTTTTTGTACATCTTGACTATGTGGACCAATGTCATCAATTCTGGGACATTTTAGCCACTAGATTTTGCTTCTGCTGCATTCCATCTCTTTTCATTCCATGGCTCCAGTTACTTATGTTAGTCTTCCTCACTTGTATGTCTGTTACTATCTGTTCTGTATGTATCATCTTTCTGTGTAGTTTCTTCTGTCTTTCAACTTGTGATTTTCTTCTTTAGCTATTGTATTAGTCCGTTTTCACGCTGCTGATAAGAGATACCCATGACTGGGAAGAAAGAGGTTTTAATGGACTTACAGTTCCACCTGGCTGGGGAGGCCTCACAATCATGGTGGAAGGCAAGGAAGAGCAAGTCACGTCTTGCATGAATGGCAGCAGGCAAAAAGAGAGAGAGCTTGTGCAGGGGAACTCCTCCTTTTAAAACCATCAGATCTTGTGAGACTTATTCACTATCACAAGAACAGCATGGGAAAGATCTGCCCCCATGATTCAGTTACCTCCCACCGGGTCCTTCCCACAACATGTGGGAATTATGGGAGTATAATTCAAGATGAGATTTGAGTGGGGACATAGAGCCAAACCATATCATTCCGCCCTGGCCCCTCCTAAATTTCATGTCCTCACATTTCAAAACCAATCATGCCTTCCCAACAGTCCCCCAGAGTCTTAATTCATTTCAACATTAACTTAAAAGTCCACAGTCTAAAGTCTCATCTGAGACAAGGCAAGTCCCTTCTGCCTATGAGCCTGTAAAATCAAACGCAAGTTAGTTACTTCCTAGATGGCAGTGGGGGTACAGGGATTGGACAAATACAGCCATTTCAAATGGGAGAAATTGGCCAAACAAAAGGGCTACAGGCCCCATGCAAGTCCAGAATCCAGCAGGGCAGTCAAATCTTAAAGCTCCAAAATGATCTCCTTTGATTCCATGTCTCACATCCAGGTCATGCTGATGCAAGAGGTGGGGTCCCATGGTCTTGGACAGCTCTGACCCCTGTAGCTTTGCAGGATACAGCCTCCCTCTCAACTACTTTCATGGGCTGGTATTGAGTGTGTGTGGCTTTTCCAGGCAAACAATGCAAGCTGTCGGTGGATCTACCGTTCTGGGGGCTGGAGGACAGTGGCCCTCTTCTCACAGCTCCACTAGGCAGCGCTCCAGAAGGGACGCTGTGTGGGGTCTCCAACCCAACCCCACATTTCCCTTTCACACTGCCCAAGCAGAGGTTCTCCATGAGGGCCCCACCCCTGCAGCAAACTTCTGCCCTGCATATCCAGGCATTTTCATACATCTCTGAAATCCAGGCATAGGTTCATAAACTCCAGTCCTTGACTTCTGTACACTTGCAGGCTCAACACCTTTGTGGAAGCTGCCAAGACTTGGGGCTTGCAGCCCCTGAAGCCATGGCCCGAGCTCTGTGTCAGCCCCTTTCAGCCACAGCTGAGCAGCTAGGATGCAAGGCACCAAGCCCCTAGGCTGCACACAGCACAGGGACCCTGGGCCCAGCCCTTGAAACCTCCTAGGTATCCAGGCCTGTGATGGGAGGGGCTGCCATGAAGACCTCTGACATGCTCTGGAAACATTTTTTCCATTGTCTTGGGGATTAACATTCATCTCCTTGTTACTTATGCAAATTTCTGCATCCAGCTTGAATTTCTCCTCAGAAAATGGGATTTTCTTTTCTATGGCATTGTCAGGCTGCAAATTTTCTGAGCTTTCATGTTTTCCTTCCCTTATAAAACTGAATGCCTTTAACAGCACCCAAGTCACCTCTTGAATGCTTTGCTGCTTAGAAATTTCTTCTGCCAGATACCCTAAATCGTCTTTCTCAAGTTCAAAGTTTCACAAATCTCTAGGGCAGGGGCAAAATGCCACCAGTCTCTTTGCTGAAAATAACAAGAGTCACCTTTGTTCCAGTTCCCAACAAGTTTCTCATTTCCACCTGAGACCACATCAACCTGGACTTTATTGTCCATATCACTATCAGCATTTTGGGCAAAGCCATTCAGCAAGTCTCTAGGAAGTTCCAAACTTTCCCACATTTTCCTGTCTTATACTGAGCCCTCCAAACTGTTTGAACCCCTGCCTGTCCCAAAGTCGCTTCCACATTTTTAGGTATCTTTTCAGCAGCACCCCATTCTTAGCACCAATTTACTGTATTAGTCCATTTTCACACTGCTGATAAAGACACACTCAAGACTGGGACGAAAAAGAGGTTTCAGTGGACTCACAGATCCATGTGGCTGGGGAGGCCTCACAATCATGGCAGAAGGCAAGGAGGAGCAAGTCATGTCTTACATGGATAACAGCAGGCAAAGAGTGAGAGAGCTTGTGCAGGGGAATTCCTCTTTTTTAAACCCCCAGATCTCATGAGACTTACTCACTATCACAAGAACAGCACTGGAAAGACCTGCCCTCCTGATTCAGTTACCTCCCACCAGCTTCCTCCCACAACATGCGGGAATGATGAGAGTACAATTCAAGATGAGATTTGGGTGGGGACACAGCCAAACCATATCAGCAGTGTTTAAGGTGCCTTTTTTATGTTCTCTTTTCTTTGTTTTTTCTTTATTTATTAAGGTGCTTTTAAATCTGTTCATTGCCCTATTAATTTTGGTAATTGTTAGTAGTTTAACAAAAACTAACCATTTTTTTCCCTCCAGTTTTAGAATTTCTAGTGTTTTTGTGTGTGTGTGTGTGTGTGTGTGTGTGTGTGTGTGTGTGTGTGTGTGTTTCCTCCCAGATTTTCACTGAACAGTTTCCAATAGTGGAAA